TTCTCAATATCTGTAATTTGAGTTTCTAATTTGTATGAAACTATAGACTTAGTGTTTTGACTTCACAAACATCTAATTTGAACCAGTGATGCGTTTAACATACCACGTGACACAAAAATCGATGTTTGTATGTGTTTTTTAATATTTACTTTTAAATTAACAAATTGAGTAATGTATAGTTCTAAAATTTCAATTATAATTTACAGTTTGATACCAAACTTATTAACATAAATTCATGAAATAGAAGTTCAATAAAATTTTGAATGTGAGTCAACAAATGAGATGACATGGCCTTTCACCTGTGACCCATATCGAAAGAGTTAATATGTCTGTATGTTTTTTAAATATCTATTTCAAAAATTTAATATGAGAAATTTTATCAAACCTGGTTTACACGTAAATGACCATGGTTTTTTTTATGACAAATATGTACAGTGTAATTTCTGAAATGTTTACATGTAGAAAATCTTTAAGTTAGATAGTAATAGTATTTAATTTTAGTGATTTATAGGCAAAGTCGGAATGTTACTATATACTTTGAAAATTTATAGTTACTTCAAAAAAGTTTTAAAAATTATAAATATCTTAGACTTGCTTGTTTGTGTTTTTTTTAGCTGATAACCAAAGGGAATCCTTATGTATTAGGTATCAGGGATACAGAGACAGTAAAGGTATGACTTGTTGTGTAATAAACAAATTACTTTTCTGTAAATTTTGATTTTAATTATTCTTTCCCCAGTCTAAAAAATGAAGTTGTTTACTTCCAAAGCATTCTTGTTAGTGTGTAATCAAAGTATGGTTTTAAAAAAAGATGGAAAAGGGATGAAAAAGTTAATTGTTGGTAAAAAAAAAGTTACTAAAATTGATTTATTCAAAGCTGAAAATATATTCTGTACATTTTTTTTAAGGTTAAAAATTTAAACTTTGTTTTAGCATTTTGCTTTATTTATTTTAAGTTTAACCCTCATAAAATAATTTCTTGTGCAGAGGTTTTGTCTGTAGGTTCAGAACACATGTTTTACAGACAGTTTTACTTTATACATTTTACCCATCAGATTTCAACTTACTATTTTTGCAGTTTGTATCTTTATAGAATCATATTGTTTTTAAACAAAGATTAATGTGTCAGTTATTATAAAGCCAATCAAAAATAGGTTAAATATTTAAAATTAATTTAATTATGACCATTTTACCATTTTACTTTTTCTCTCTATACATTAAAAGTAAATCAAGACAGTGTTTTGAAACAAGCAAGAATATGTAGCAATGTTTTGACTTTTTAATGTATTATGTTATTATTGTTATCTTCACTGAAGTAGTATCATCTTTATCTTTGGTAAGCCATGTTGATATAAAAGCTGTTCTCTGTAATTTTCTAAATATTAAAGGTTACCTGCAGTATTTTAATAGTTATTATAGTAATTTTCCATGTACAAGTGTGTATGTGCATGTTTTAAAATCAGTATAAACATTTTGTCTTTTGACAACAAGTTTGTGTAAATATATCTAAGAAGTGGCATCACAGATGTGATATGGTACTATTATTTTTCAGTTAAAGTGAAATATGTACAATCTGATATGACTCAGTGTTTCTTAGATGTATATAAACAGTTGATCAATGTAAGTTTTCAAAGTATTATGTAATATTCATACATCTAATGATACACTCCAAAAATTGATCGGGTGTAAATTCTCTATTTTGTTTTCTTCTTTCTATAAAGCTCTTTCAGGAAAGATTAGGCAGTTCCAAACGAATTGTAGTTGTGGGAAATGGTGGTATTGCCATTGAATTGGTGTAAGTACAAAGGTGTGGTTTTAGTTATAGCTTGTATTTCCTTTACAACTAATCTACTTATTGTTATTTCCAAATGTATTTGAAGTAAATTTTAAAATATAGGAATTATGTATTTTACTTAATTGTACTTTGAAATGTCAAATGCAGACATTATAAGAATTGCAACATCATATCACTCCATTGGAAATCTTTCTCTTCCCTTTCTGAAACATGTTAGAGTAAAACAGATATGTTAGAATTGCCTTGTGATAAACAACTTCATATCACTCCATTGGAAATCTTTCTCTTCCCTTTCTGAAACATGTTAGAGTGAAACAGATATGTTAGAATTGCCTTGTGATAAACAACTTCATATCACTCCATTGGAAATCTTTCTCTTCCCTTTCTGAAACATGTTAGAGTGAAACAGATATGTTAGAATTGCCTTGTGATAAACAACTTCATATCACTCCATTGGAAATCTCTCTATCTTTCCTTTTGAACATGTTGGGGTCAGAATTTTAAATATAGTATTTTTATTAAAGATATGTCTGTAAACTTACGAAGTCAATCTGACTTTGACTAGTCTGAGGGCAAGGTGATTTTGTTTTTTAAGAATAAACATTTTTTTTCCTATTATAGTTTTCATATTTCATTTGCATAACCTCTAAACTTCCGAAATGAATATCAAAAATCTTTTTTTGAATGTAACTTTATAATTTATCTTGTAGTTTCTCTACTGTAACACTACCTATATCAAAATCAATAATTTAAGATAAAATGAACAGTTGGAAATATAAATCTAAATTACTCTCTCTTTTTTTTTTTATAGAATAACTGCTTGTGGTAACAGACAATTATACATTATTTATTTTTACAGCCAAAACTAAATGACTTTTCAAATCTAGGTTCATTTAGTTCTGTTGCTTTACAGCCACACTTAGACAGTCTCAGAGTGAGCTACAAGTGCATCAAAATTGAATTTACAAACATGCCTCTTGATGGGCATGTGCTAGGATATTGAGTATCACGAGAAATACTTTATTTTTTTTGTAATTTCATTAGTTTCTATGTTTTACATTTTAGTTATTTTTATATATCAATAAGTATAAAATATGGATAAAAAACAAGAAATTTAGTACTTATGTTTTCCAATTGACAGACAAAGCACTGTAGGCTTATTTTTTATAATAATAATATTGTTGGTCCAAAATATAACTTGTATATCTAATATGTATTTTAGAAAACAAAAATTATCATTTTCTAAAAATGAAATGTTTTAGAATAATTATAATTTTACTGACTTTTTTAACTGAGCTACAAAAAGTCAAAAATTTCGTTAACTGGTAAAGCTAAATGCCAAAAAAGCAAACAGTGAACTTGAGGCCAAATATTTTTTAATCTGGTGCATAAATGCTTTAGCCTTTAAATGAATATTTTAAAGCAACCAAGGCAGGATTTTGTATCAGAGCTTGACATCTCTTCTCACTCCAACACAATATATTGTCCATATAGGTAACTTTTTTCCACACATACATCTCAGTCTGGCTTAGCTAACTCCCATCCAGCTTCATGCTATTGAACAGGCAGTCTTACTCATGTTTCCTTCTCCCATGGTGTTCATACTCTTTTGTGGATGTAGGTATCACTCAAATCCTTCATTCTATTGGGACAAGCACAAATATGATCCCTTCAGTGGTCTCTACACAGCCAATGAATCATGAATAGCAATCTAGTGGATTCCCCAGTTTCCTTATTCAGGATCAACACCATGGATCTCGAGTGGTAGTTAGATTAGAACAATACTACAATCGGTGTTCCTCTGCAACCACCTCCTCCAGAGCTTCATGTTTTCACAGATGCCTCACTTTAGGGATGAGGTGCATATCTCAGTGGTCAGAAATTCCAGGTCCTATGGATGGATGATGAGGCTTCCCTCCACATCAATGTTTTAATACTTCTTGCTGTTCAATAGGTGATGTCTCAAGTCTGAAATTATTGAGGGTCAAAGTTGTCATGCTTCAGTCCACAATTCTACAGTTGTGCCTCACATTTCCTGTCAAGGAGGCATTTGTTTTCGAATCTTGGATCTTCTATATTAGGTTCACTCCTATCATATCATCCTCCTAGCTTGCCATGTATATTCAGTGAGTAATGAATTTGGTGGTGGATTAATTGTCTCAACTCATCCGGATTCTTCTGAGAGAATAGATGCTTCATCGAGGGTTTTTCCATTGGATTTACTCTCAGTTTGGGACACTGATGATCGATGCATTTGCCACTCATTGGAACACTCAACTACTGGCATTTTGGTCTCTAGTACCTCACCGTCAGGCATTGGCAATAGATGCATTTAGTCAAGACTACATTAGATTGCACTTACATGCTTACCCACCTATTCATCTATTACCTAGAGTCTTAGCAATGATTCATTCTACCCTTGATTCTTCTGTTGGCAGCACCAGATTGGCCAGCTCAACCCTGGTTTCTGCTTCTGTGGTACCTTCAGAGGTGCCCACCACTTCCTCTTTGGCCATCTCTGTTAAGGCAGCCACGATCCGATATCTTACACCCATCTGTCCCGAAGTTCAAGCTTCATGCTTGCAGGTTATGTGGTCCTTAGCACAGCATCTGGGTTTAACTCAAATGTTGCCATTTACCTGTCTCAGTCTCTGTGGCATCCCACAATGGACATTTATCAACAAAAATGGTACAAATATGGATGATGATGCATTGTGAGGAGGTTAAACCCACTTCGTCCTGACATGCCAACCATAGCTCAGTTTTCACTTGGCTCTTTCACAAGGGTATTTCATATTCCACAATCGCCATATATAAGGCAGCCTTATTGGCTACCTTTAGATACATGAAGAGACAGAAATTCTTTGAGTCCCCAGTGCTCTCCAGCCTCCTTAAGTCATTTTGGGACCTTTTTCCCACATGACTGTTTCAGTTGTCTAACTGGGATATAATGATGGTGTTACATGCTTTTTCTCAACATTTGTTTGAGCCCTTAGTCTCCTGTACCATGTATCACCTTTCCCTTCAAGTTTATCTTTCATTGCTGCTGGCCTGCGGACGTTGCCAGTTGGAGTTGTTTGTACTGCAAGTGCACAGGACACTTTATCATTCTACCTCCATTCTTCTATATCTAGATAGGTTTTTCTTACCTAAGACACTGGCAGCTAGGGAAGTGGATAAATCCTTTTCACCAATTCTTCTGACAACTATTTCTCACCTCTATGACTGATCAGATCCCAATCATTTGTTATGTCCGGTGAGGGCCTTGAAGTGTTATGTTGCCTGCACTAAAGCTTTTAGAGGCACTAGACAACAGCTTTTTATTCATTATAATCCTTCTGTTTCTTGGAATTTATCCTCGGTTACTTTGTTGAGGTGGGTACAAAAATTATTCCATATTGCTTATTCTGGGCTGTCTTTGGAGGTAAGGAAACTTCTACGAGTCATGTCTCATCAGATTCATCACATTTCTACTTTCTTAGTGCCATGGTTGAATTGCCCATTGAAGGACATTGTGTGAGCTGGTATATTTCAGTATTTGCATGACCTGGCAGTATCTTCCTCTGAGGGTTTTCAACTACCCCCCTGTAGCTATCTGCTAGATTATAAAGAGAGGTTAGAATTTTCATTATTTAATCTCTTCTCTTCTTTCCAAGGTCCAGGAGCTCTTTTTCATAGGATCCCAAGTGTTGCTAGTCAGTGTGTTTTTATCAAATCAAATCTGCACTAGCAACCACTAACCCATCATACTTTATCTAGGTTGCAACAGGCCCGAAGTGGTTTGATCATTTGCTATTGAACACAGCTTTAGAAATACTCAAGTTATAAGAATGTTTTTAAGCCAAAATTTGATATTATTTTTTAAATTTCATACAATTGTATTAAGTAATGTTACTGTGAAAATAAAAAAGGGGGAATATCATTGACACCCATCTGGTCCAGACAAAGTTAACACAAAAAGAAAGGTGCATAAAAAGTTTTAGAAGAAATTATAAAAAAATGTTGTAATAGCAAATTTTTGTTATTATATTTGTTAATATTTACATTTATTATATCGGTTTAAAGTGTAGGTCAAAGTTTAAAATATTTTAATTCTTTCAAGCTGTGATACTCAATTTGGCTACTAGCCAAAAATCAGATTTTTGTCTCATTTCACTATTTTCTTTGCTCTTCTGTTGCTTAGGATGACATTATACTCACTGCCTTTTAATCTTTGGTTCTAATCAAACTGTTGCAGGATTTCAGTTGAAGATGTGAAATCCTCTCCAAAAAAAGGAAATGATTCTTTTTGGACTTATGCTTTACTCAAGTGATATTTTTCATTCCACAACTACCTGGTATCATTTGTACTGACATTTCTAGTGTACATCTGAGATGCAAGTTATGTAATAATGTTCACATATTTACTTTTTTAATATTGGTCATTGAAAATACACTAAAGAAAAAAAACTTTAATAAGGCTCATAGTTTCACTCCTACCAGTTTTTCAACTTAAAAAAATGAATTGTTTCTCAGCTCACTTAATTCAGTTGCTGTCTAGAACATTTATTAATATTAATATTGAATACTTTAAACTACATGTTAAAATATATTATGAAAGTTACACTGGTCTTGTCATCATTTTCTTCATTGGCAAAAAAAAAGCTCATTTGCCTAGTATTCTCCATTCAGTGTTTTTTTATGCATTTAACCAAAATTCTGGCTTTAAGCCTTCTTTGTGCAATATGCAAAAGAAACATTAAAAATTGGGTACAATGCTCCAATTAGCACTTAGAAGTCTAAAACGTTTTTTTTACCATGGCATAAAGAGTAATGACAATGATTTTCTTATTATATGCATATCTTGATCTTTCAAGCAGCTCAGACTAACCAACTTAGAGTTTTTGGTATAGATTTGTGTACTGTTAAATTACATAAAACAAAGGAATAACAGGTGTGCCTTCTAACTACACTTGTGTAATGTATGATTTAATACTTGTTTATTAAAAATTACTGTGACATAAAAACGTTTTCAAGTACCTTATATACCTCTTCGTGATTGTTACTTGAACTTACTTAATATGTTTTTTAAATCAAAAACTTTAAATTTTAAGAATGTTTAAACACATTGAAGGTGTTAATTTTTAGTTGGAAAAAGAACCAAAATTCTAGAAGAGCTAGAGAAGTACAGACTTATGGTTATTAATGTTGATCAACCATGTTTAGGGCACAATTCAGCTTTTTTTTAATATATAAAACAACATTTTCTTTCTTTCTATCTTCTGAATGAACATTTATTTTAATCCCCATAAAATTTGCCAGAGCTTATCATGATTTTTGTGAGTTTATCAACAAGTCACTTGTTCTTCTTATTCTTTGTTTCTGTCAGCAGAAGTAATAGGAAAAGTTCAGGGAATAGTTGTTGAATGAAATATTGTGTTTGAAATAAGGAATGTAGTGTAAATTAGCAGATAATTGGCGCTCTTTATAACATGGACATATTTATTGGTCTATTTACTATATAGTGTATATAATGGAGCATCTGATATTCAAAGTTGAGACCCCCTGTGAAGGAGTTAACGTAACATAGACAGTTATCTAGAATCATACCCAGTAATTACTATTATTCAACTGAAATAACTTAGTTTCTACTATAGTTCTCAGTTGATATAAAGTAATGGACTTTTTTTACAACTACCAATAAAACTGAGCCATTGACAGCAGAATGTTTATTTATAGGTATGAAATAGAAAACTGCCAAGTAATCTGGGCAATCAAACATAATTCCATTGGTTCTACTTTCTTTGATGCTGGAGCTGCTGAATTTTTTTTGCCACAACTACAGTCTGATACGAGTGCAGAAAATAAACCTCTAAAACGAACCAAGTATACTGTGTATGGTGAGTAGTAACAGATAGATATTTAGATATTCTTCTGCATTGATTGAATTACAGTCGTAATTATAATGTTATATTAGTGGTTTTTAACTTATTGATGAAAAAAATCTCATTGTTGGAAACCATAAAATTGAGAAAACAAAGCAAGTGTCATAGTGTTTAGCAGTAATCCAAAAAAAGTGCCATTAGCTAGTTGAAAATCAGTATAAACTTGAAAATTAAAGTTGAGTAACTTCTTGTTTATTCAGAACTCTTATGAGCTATACTTAATAGAAATTTAATTGCTTCTGACTCACCTGATCAAGGTCTTGTGAAGACAAGTTAAAGGAAGAGTATACAGAGCCAAGTCACAGTAACCAAACAGTTAAAGTGCACAATGCTTCAGAAAGAATGTAATACTACTTCCATCAAATACTTAATCCATCAAAATAACTTTTTTTTGGCAAATTAAGCATGTAATACATTTAGATGTAAACTAGATATGCACATTTATAAGATGTGTGTGTGTAGAAGTTTGTATATTCATAACCAAACATGAAATTGAAATAATGATATACAAGTTATTATTAACCAGAAAAATATTTTAAACATTTAATCTGAAAACTAGAATGCTAAATAATTTAATTTAATTAATTTAATATTCTTGATATCTTTTTCTTAAAAACAGAGCCCCCTAATGGCTCAGCAGTAAGTCTCTGGATTTATGATGCTAAAAATCAGGTTTCAATACTCAAGGTGGGCACAATGCAAATAGCCCATTATGTAACATTATGCTCAACAACAAACAAACAAATCTTAAAGACAGCCATTTAATGCATATCGTTTCCATGTTTAAACAAAAAATCTGATACAAACATTTAACAATTCCATGATTCAATACATATTATAACTGTACAATTTCAAAATGTTCCTCTTTTTCTGCCCCCAAGTGGCTCAGTGATAAATTTTAGAGTTTATAACACTAAAAATTGGGGTTTGATACCCACAGTGAGCAGAGCATAAACAAACCATTGTGTAGCTTTGTGCACAAACAAACAAACAAAATCCTGTTTCGTTTTACATGTAAATAGTTTCCCATCAATTTTCATGTTTTTCGGAAGGAAGTAGAGCATGCATGTCATATAAACATTGTGTATTGTATAATTTTTAACAACCGATTAAGCTTCTAGAAACTCAGTAACTTCATTTGATTTTGTTAAATATACAGAGTAAAGCTAACAATTTAAACTAGTTTAAGAATTTTGAACCAAAATTCAGTAGACTAAATGTTTTCCAATTGTTGTATCAGTTGCATTGTATTAATTAAAAAGTGTGAATAGAAATATTCCATATACAGAAAAGTATAAAATTATCAGATATAAAATTGACTGTATAAAAATTGCTGATGAAAATTGTTTCCTAAAATCACTATTTTTTTAGGTTGATTAAACCACTATGACAATTATTGGTCAGCTGTGATTCCTTACCTGTTTTCTATCTAGCCAGATTTTACAAGTCATTTTCCTTGGGAATAAACAAGAAACCTATTGATTTTATTCAATGGGGGTCAAAGTTACATATTTCAAGAAATAAAAGTTTGTTTTCTTTATGATAATTAAAACTCTAAACAGCATATTTTACTTAAGCTCCACAGGTCACTTCCCTTGGGCCCAGAAAAGAACCCTATTGATTTTGAGGTTAAAACTTCAAAGGTTAGTTACACCATTTAAAAAATAAAACAAATTGATCTATGTGCAAAGGAAAACATAATCACAAAATATACACACAAAACAAACGAAAAGCTAAAGTTCAGGGAATCAACCATCCTACTTATGGCTGTTATTTTAATATCAAAAGTAGAATTAATTAACTGTGGTATTCCTGTTACATAAAGTCTGAATTTAACAACAAAGCAGTTGTAAACATCTTGACTTACTTGTTAGTGAGCTCTAAACTGCTAAGATTACTGAGAGAGATATACAGTGATTCACAAACAACAGCAAAATTTTATTTAAAAGTTAACACTGACAATAAACTGTAGGGGCCATGTAAAAACTTTGCATTATTATTAAAACCAGACTAGAGACTGAGGTGAATTTTTAGCTCTAGAACAACTGATGGACCTCTTTGACTTTTGAAACACTTTTTTCAAAAGTACCTTTATGCATCAAGTTGCTCATGGTTCCATGATTTTGTTACAGGATTACTAATAACATATAATTACACAAAAAAATGCAAAAAACAAAATCATTATTGCAATTAACTCATTACTTCTGGGGTTCCCTATGTAGTTTACAAACAAAAATAGTTTTATAAAATGTCTTTCTTGGTCAGTTCATTAGATTAACTGTTGTAATAAACAGAAACATAAAATTACTCAATATGATGCAGTGTGCCCATTCTCAAGTAGTGAATAGTATAAAAACAAAATAGTAATTCACTAAAAGGATTAAATAGATTCAATCAACCTGAAGACATTACATTGTTTTGTATTTTGTATGGCATACAGTGGATTTTATAAGATGTTTTACCTGATTGAAACACTTGGTGTTGGTTAACAATTGTTACAGGTAATATTTTGCTACTAAAAATTTGCCTCTCAACAAAAGTTTTTGTACTTTAATTAATAGTCATGCCAATCAAAAATTAGTGTGTACAAGATAATTCTGTTTTCCATCAGTACACATCAGTGCTGTGTCAGAAACCATCTCGCATAATTTGTTAAAATTAGTGTGTACAAGATAATTCTGTTTTCCATCAGTACACATCAGTGCTGTGTCAGAAACCATCTCGCATAATTTGTTAAAATTGGTGTGTACAAGATGATTCTGTTTTCCATCAGTACACATCAGTGCTGTGTCAGAAACCATCTCGCATAGCTTGTTAGCTACAGATGTGAAAATCCAGGTGTTGATACTGCATGTAAATAAGGACAGGCTATTAAAACCAAAGCAAATTAATTTTTACTTTTCAACAGCCAAGATATATATATATATATAACTATAAATTTCCAGCTATATATTTAAAAACAGGTAGTCTGTTTTTAATTTATATAGTACAGATTTAATTATTGTTGCTTTCATGTTTTTTTGGTTAGATGTGACCAAAAAACAAAAGAGCTGTGATGCAGTTGGTGGTGCATTGGGACCAGATTGGGCAACAGATGTTGTTATGAAGGGGAAAGCAGAAGTGAGAATACATATGTTTTGATTTTAAGATTGTTCGTATTCTCTGGTGTGTTATTTATAAAGTTATCAGAATATGGACTTAATTATTAAGTAATTTTTAATTTAACAAATATTAGGGAAAATATAACTTGATTTTTATATAGTAGATGTATAAAGTGTTTGAAGTATGCACATATGTAAGTGTATCAGCTTTTTAAAAATCAAATAAACGAACAGATAAATAGACTTGTAAGTTCATTTTTTTATTTAAGTTTGTAGTTTTAATGTCAGAATATTATGTAGCATAAATAATTTGAGAAAAATAATAAAGAAAAAATTGTCAAACATAGCCTTTCACATATTTGTCATCTAACAGTAGCTGTTTCCAATTGTCAAGATAATAAAATGTGAACTAATTAGGAAATTAGCCACATTGACATTTTGAAAGGTTTTTTTAAACTAATGTTGGCTGTGAGAGGGTTGAATAACTTCAAATGCAGCACTGCTGAAGATGGTAAATTATATGTCATCTAATTTAGGTTAGAAATCCATAAAGTGTTTAAAGAATTTGTTATGAATCTTAATCCTCAAAAACATCTTAAAAGATAAAGTGATAAATCTTTTCATAGCAACTAAATATTTTAATTATGGTAACATAACATGGTTAATAAAGGTATTTTTGTCACTTGTGCGCATTCTGGACTATCATCATATATATACAAACTATCTTAATTGCAATTCACATACATATCATTTGGATGTGTATACAAGATAAGTTGGGCAATTAGCAGCTATTCACATATTCAGATAATGTCAAAGTTGCTTAATATATCAGATTTATATACTGGCTTTTTTGCAAAGGCAGTCAGGTTTGTTTATAACTTCTCGCCATTACTACACATTTTTTATCAAATATTAAAGTAGAAAATGCATAAATTGAGAAAGAATTTTACAACTTCATTGGTTTATGGAGTTGAATTGTGTTTTATTTATAATTACCATAAAAACCTGTCAAAAATGATGGGAAACTGCTGGAAACCAAAACTGTTTCATATAAAACTGGCAATACACAAAAGAAATATAACATTTCCTTTCTCAGGAACATGCTTTGGATAAAAGATTAAAACATGTGATTGCATACACAACTGTACTTTTGAGGAAAAGTTGTCCTCTTCCCTCTAGATAATTGGTGTCTTCAGTGTGTTTTATAGCTGAAGTGCTGAAATTTAGAAGCTATTTACATCTGTGTTAGCAGTTAAATTCAACTGAAATGGGAATGGGAAATCAAAACCGGAAGTGTTATAGGAGAAAAAAGTGGAATTGGACTCGTGTAACTCATGAAATTTGGAGAAATTGAGCATGACAGATGGACTGATTGAATGACCAACACTTGGCTTTTACTTAATATTGATGACATAGCTTAGTTACAGTTTAGTTAATTTGTCTAAACTGTGAGTCGTAGAGTTTATAGTTTGCAATCTGTTGTTGCAAAAACATGTTCCACACTTTGAGTCTGTGGGTGCACTATAAGTGTGACAGTCAAATCCCATTTCAGTCAGACAAGCACATCTCATTAGTTGACTGTGGGTACTATTGGGTAGCTACCTTTTCTGTAGTTTATTAGTTCAAAATTAAGGATAGCTGTGTGCATGTAACCCATTTGTAGCTTTGCAAAAATGAACAATTTAGATTATGCAGTGTTTTCCGCAGTCATGATTTATCTGTACCCAATTCCCATGGCTGCGAGTCCCTACTTCCTGTTAAGTCCTTTCAGTTATCCAGAAGGCTGAAGCCATAGTTTAACAGAAAAATAAAAGTATATTACATATTTATGTTTCTTAGTTTGAAACAAAAAATAAATGAAATTGGTTACTTTTAAACAGTACTTCATCAAAAAAAAAAACATTAGAAGTTTCTGCTTGGTAACACTGAGGTCTTTTATATAACCATGTGAAGTCACATGTCAATATGAACTGCTGTTTATGCCCATGAGCACAGTTATTATTAGAGGAGTGATTATGTTACTGTTTAACAATACTAAATGCAAAACATACATTCTGTGTACAGCATACTTACTTTATAAAAAATACCATAATACTACTGTTCATATTATGAAATCTCAGATATAAAGTATTAGTCCCTTTTCCTTTCATCATCCGACTACATCTGGAATAAAAAGAGTGTTATTGATTTTTATCACTATTTACATAAATAAAATTTGTAAATTCCATTAGTTATTTTGTAAATAGGTTTTTGTAGGTGTCATTATTTTCACACAAATCTAGTTTAATGAAGAGCTTTGTTAAAGTATTTTGTACTGTTAGCATTCAAGCACATTTTTATGACTAATATTTGTTGTGCACTATCTTTATGTAAATATGTAATTTTATAAACTTCAGTATATCAACATCAACTTTCTTATTTTGAACACTTTTTAAATGTTAAATCATAATACTTTAATCTTATTGGCTTAAAGTGGCACTTCCGCACTGAACTCGAAAAAATTGTTATTTCTGTAGAAGGAGGTTCAAGCTTGTTAACGTAAATGGGAAGTGGTTACAATGATAACTGGCTTGTTAACTTAATCTCTACTTGCATGACCAACTGGGAGTTTGTCTCACTATGACTGATTTTTTGGACTTGTAAAACATTAACTAGTTTTCCTATAAACTATAAGGTAGAAGTAAATTTTTTTTTAGTTTAATATAGAAGTAACAATTTAAACCAATATAATTGAAGTATTCATTCATCAGGACTTCATAAAAAAAGAAGAATTTAGAAACTAGAAAATGTTCATTATAGACAGATATTAAAAAGTTCTTGTTTCTCTAGATATTTACAGGTCCCAAGACAGTTTTGTACTTTTTGAAAAAAGTACTTTGTACTTTTTGATTATCAGAGAAAATATATTATTATGCATAGAGCACTCTAGGAATGTTTTAGTAGTTTCAGTTGTTTATTCCAAGGCTGTATAGCTTAAACACAGTATTTGATTTGGTTAATAAGCAAATTCTGACTCTCAGCTAGACTGTAACTTGTCATATAAGACATGGTATAATAATGGTAGTATATTTTATTTTTATCATTTTTATAGTCTATAATTTCTTCTTGTGCAAAAATGATGTTGTTTTTTTAACTCAGTAAAACAGTAAAAATTATGGTATTATTTTCATGCACTATGAAAAATAAATGGTTTAGAGACAACTGAATGACATTGTTATTAAGGTTAAATTAATTATAATTACAGCATTATTTAATAGAATCTAATTAATATGCTATCTGTTAAATATAAATGATTTCTTCTCTCTTTATTTCCACTGCAGCATATTCATGATATTCATGTAGAGCATAGGTGTGAAGTAGAAGCTATCTTGACACCTGATGAGCTATTAGAACAAAAACTAACTCCTGAAGGATTGGTATTGAAGTTAGGAAGTTTTGATGGTGAGCTTAATTTTCTATTTAAAAAATTTGAAGTATTATCATTAAGTATGATAAGTCAAGGAAATGGGTTTCTTTTGAGAATTCAGGGCTGACATTAATATTTAAAGAAGATAGTAGCGAAGTTGTAAAATTCATATGTAAAGTTTGTAGATTGGTGAAGAAATTGGAAGCTGTTCGAAATAGGGTTAAGGCTATGGATAGAGTGAAGGGTAAACTGTGGAAAATGGCAGTAGGATTTAAAGAGGAAATTAACCTTTTCCAAGTGCTAATAACGACTTTCAGGAATTTAAAAGTAGTACTAATAGGTCTAGTAGTAGTGGGTTTGATTGTAGTTAACATGTTCTACTAATTAATTGATTTCAGCCTTAAGCTTATGCAGATGATGAACTTGAAGAGGGAAGGATAACAAATGAGACAAATAGGGATTGAAATGGAAACATAAAATAGTTATTGTTAAAAGAGATTCTTTAGCACAACACATGGATAGGATAGTCTGTGAGGTAAATAGGGAGAAAAGAATTAGATTATGATATCCAGGAGTAGAGGTAGAACTAACAGAACATGTAAAAAGTGCTAGCAGTGACGGATTCTTTGTAGTGCACATAGAGTTAAATGATGTAGGAAAAGGTAGGTCATAGGAGCTTATTGTTAAGTATAAGACATTAATAAAGGCATTAAAAGAAAAGGACCATGATAACTTTATTCTGTCAGGGATACTGCCAAGACTTAACTATGGAGATAAAATTATAAGTAGGTCACTAGGGCTGAATATTAGGTTTAGGTTAATATATGAGGTATTACAGGTTGACTGGATGGATTTGTAGGATCACTTCAGTGGGAAAAGGGAGCTTTTTTGGAATGGATGGTTTACATCTAAATAGGGTAGGTGCTGGCTTATTTGCAAGGACTATTAACTTAACTCAATCTTAAAGCCAACTTTAAACTTGGATTAGACAGTGGAGAAAGCCAAAATAATGAAGAAAGGATAATTTGGTAGAAGTGGTATAGTGTGGGAACAAGGTAGTTTTAGTGGTAGGCTAAACTGATGTTATTGTAATGCTAGGAGTGTAAGAAATGGGTGACTTTAGAGCACTAGTTGGAACAGAATGTTCTGATATTGTGGAAATAACTGAAACCTGGCTAAATATAGACAATTTTGATGCCAGGAATTTTTTTGAAATACAGTGTTATGGGTTATCTAATAGGGATAGAGTACCAAAAAGCCCTGGTAAAATATGGGTAACAGCCTGTTTTCAAGTTGAGGACATCAAAGCTAATAGCAATGTTGTTGAACCTATTTGGTTTCTTTTTATGGGTATAAGGGGAGAAGGCTTTTATATGCAGATTCTAAACAGGTAGCTTCTTGTTGCATCTAAACCTCACATGTGCGGCAATCATCGTTTTATTAGCATACGTAAATCATTTTTTGAAGTACAATTACCATTCTTTATGTTACATCACAGCAGTTTGAGAAGATCTTCCTCCATTCTGATAACAATGTCTTATATTGTACATGATAAAAATGCAATACTATTAGCGATGTCTCTAACCCAAAGATAGCCTTTCAAAACAATTCAGACTCAGTATGCTAAGAGAAATGATGGCAAATTTCACATAAAGA